TTTGTGAATTTGTAGAAAATTGTTCTTTATTTTAGGTTAGAATAATAGTCTAGGAAAAAATTGAAAGTCAAACCTCTCAAATGGAAACATCGTAAGATTTTATTCGGGTTTTTGTTTTTATCTTTCGTTATTTTAGTTACGTGAAATAATGGAAAATATAGAGTTTTCAAGCAGATTTCCTTTAAAACTACATTAAAAACTTTTATGAAAATGATTGGTTAATCGATACAACTTTTGCATTAAAATGTCTTTTTAGTGTTAAATTTCATGCAAAAACAGTTATGTTGGAGAATAGTAGATAAAGCGGTAACCAAAAATTTGCGTTCAAGTTATAATTTTACTTGTATTGTCAACGAAAAACTACTACAAAGCTCTGCTGTAGAAAAAGCTTTGAGAAATAACAAGGATCTTTGAAGACTAGAATTGATGAACAAGTAGAACAACTTCCGAGTCATAGAAAAGTGCACACATCCAACAATTTTGCAAAGAAACAGATACAATATTCGAAATTTGACATAGAAAGTTCCTCCAAATCTATTTCTTATACGAATCTGTTTCTTATAGGATGATAATTATGATAAAAACTTGTATGAAACATGTGTTCATGGTAAATTAGCAGAAAAATTAATAATTCTTAGAAATCATACTTCGCTTTATTTGTTTGAATTTGAATATAAATGATTGTAATTTTGTGTCCCTCAAATGAACTTTCATTAGTGTTTAATAAAAATCTAAGTTAGAATCGAATCATGGAAATTTTTAACATCATTTCAAAATCAATTTTTAAATTAATTTTTTGAACTGATGTTGTATAGAACATAGATATCCTCCGGGACAGTAAAATAGTAGCAAAGTAGGTGAAGAGCGTAAAAGAGGTAAGTTTTTGACTGATGCTGAGTCTAATTTGATGACATGTGCAGAAGCGCGTGTACAACTGCCAGTTGGAAAATTTGAATCTAGTTTTTTTCCAACCCTTCTCGCAAACTGAAAAGCTCATTTACTGTTTTTTTTTGCAAAAATTAAGATCTATAGCACTAGCAGTTAAACAATATCTGTTATCTGCTTTATCGGTCGGTAGTGTTTGATATTCGTCATGCGTCCGTGGTACAGCTCAAGGATGTGAGACATAAAACATGGGTCGTATGTTCAAAACCTAACTTACTAATAAATTGATTTACATTTTTATATTTAATGGTGATCTTGCTGCTTGACATTGTCCTTTTTTGCCATTTTTTCTCCTTTTTTTGGCCAGTGTTTTTAAACTTTCAAGGAAATCACTTAAGTCCAATTTTTTACCCTTTTTGCTTTTTTCTAATAAAAAATTGGGCACATTTTAAAAACCAAATAGCCTATACCACACTTCGTATTCCTGTGCAAATACATGCTAAATTTCAGAGATGTGCGATCATTTTCGTAGAAGGAGATCAGTCATAAGCCAACACACACATGCACACACACACACTCTCAAACTTTTTCAGTTCCTTATAAACTCTTAAATTCAATTTCCAGATCGTAAAATAACTTACCAATCATATTTTTTGACTTGATTGGCCTCAATCAAGAGAAACAAAAGTTTAACTACTGCTGAACAGCAAGTAGTTTGGATGGGCGTAAGATCTAAAGAACTCGGATTATGTTTTAAGCCACATGACTGATTTTCAACAAAGCGATTGTAAGGCTCAAGATGAAAACTGAAGACTTTACTGAACACATGTTACTTAAAACAGGAATTTTCTATGCCTGCGGTGAAACTAGCCTTAGTCGAAAAAAGCATGCTTATACCTCATGACCAATTGTAAATCGAGCCCTTAACCGCTTCTTTTGGGGACAACCTGAGACAAGTTCTCCAAAAAGTTGTCGCAAAAAAATTCAATACAGTATGGCGTGATTGATTAGCGCAGCAAATGATGCAAACATTACAAACATACTTGATCTTCTCCTTGTTTCTCAGCGTAAAATGTGATCTAATTGCTTGCAGAAAAGTGAAAAAAATTCCAAGTATTTATTAGAACAATCGTTTTACACAAAATCACTTTAAGAGGATTACAAATCTGCAATCAGTTGAAATGATTCGAAGTAAATTTTTTCTAACAAATTTAATCTTTAAGAGTTTCCTTCAAGTTTATTATATCATCTAAGAAAAGCATTATAAGCGATCTCAAAACTAAAATAAAGAAAAATTTAGCCTGAGTAATCTCAAAACTAAAAATAGCATCAATACTAAAAGCATTCGTATTTTTAGTCTGTTTAGAACAAAAATCATTAAAAAATTATCTCAAAAACAAAGATGTAAAAATTGATCTTAAAAATTATCTCAAAACTTAAATCATTTGAGCTTTTAGTCTTTTGAAAACCATCACAGTATTCAAAAGGTTACCACGAAACCCATTGTTTTAGTTTTTTTATAAATCAATACACTTCAATGCTCATTTTTAAACTTTCTTAAAAGATTTTTTTTGTTCACTTAAACTTAAATAAAAAGATTTTTTCTGGAAAAATTCTTAAAGTTTGGCATTCGAGCATTTTGTTCCTTGTTTGCATTCAATACAGACGCGCTTTTGCATCAGCACTCCTTGCAATGCGAATTTTTTCTAAATTTAAATTGAAATTGCTCATATATTGATCTTCGTTTGCTCATGTGAAAAGTATTCTTTTTTATTCACGAGTTACGTAAATATTTCAAAGTTCAGGTTAACGATTGCAAAGAAAATTCTCTTTCAATTTACAAAATTCACAGTTTGACCTCGTGATGGACTTTAAACTGGGACTTCTTTTAAAAGAATTGCAACAAATTCAAAAAAAAATGTTTTATGAGGAACATTTTGATGTTTCTCATTTTAGAAAAAATCCAAGCAAAATACCCTCTATCCGCCGCAAACAACTTAACAGAAACGTTTGTGAGCAGTTTTTTTTTCAAATTTTTGAATATTTTCTAAAATTACTTCAACCACTTTCAGGGAGTTGGACGAGCATCAGATTTGAATGAATAATTCTGAACATTTTCGCTTACTCAGACTCATGTGTCAAAATTTGATTTGAAAAGAAAAACATCTCAAGAGCCTACCTTTGTTTATAAACTAGCAATTGTTATCCAAGCCAGGAATTTATGGTAAAATTCCGTTCACCACAATGAATTGAGCCAAAAATTGAATAGTATTCAACAAAAACTATACTTGAAAATTTTTTTAATTGGCTCATTCAAACATAAGCTCGCAGGTTTTGATTTTTTAAGGTTCGTCCCAGCTAAATAAATTGAATTTCTAACAAGACTGCTCGTATCAGGGCGAAGCCCTGAATGTTCCGACTGCCTTTTAAGGTTATATGGAGCAGTAATAACATCAAAAAATTAAATGTAATACCTGAAATTTCCGACTGCCCCTTTAACGTTCATGGAATAATTTTCAGTTAAGAAATATGATGAAACTTCACAAAAAATAGACAAAAGACAAAACGAAATGGTTTGCTTATAAAAACGTAACAATAAGACTAAGTAGTCTGCCGCAATTCAACTTCGAACGACCTCAAATCAGGAGTTTTTGCCGTTAAGGCGTTATAGACAGACAAATATCGAGCGTTAACTACCTTAAATTAACTACCTTAAATTGGCTAGTTTCAAACCCCATAGCTTCGAAAAAAAACAGAGGTGAATTTTGAGCTCGGTTCATCCATATCAATTAGATAGTATCATAAATTTTGCCTAAGAGGCTATTAAATATTCGATGATTTTCTGAAAAAAATACACCCTGAGCGCAAATAATCGGTCATTTTCAGAACAGAAACCGGCCATTAACATTTTTAGGCCCACTAACACTTATGAATTGAAAACAGAAAAACAAAATTTCTTACTGATCGTCTTTTGATTGACAAATAAAAAAAGTTTGCAGTAAATTTAACTGTGGAATTTGTATCTTTTCTTATAAACGGTTTTTATCTTATGATTTTTTTTCATTATATTTTTGTGTTTTGTTTTGAAAAGAATAAGCCTTATAAATAATACATGCCATCAACATGTCTTAAGATCGTTCATATTTTCGCAACAAATTTGGTGAATTTAGCAAATAAAAAACAGAAGAGTGCAATTTTGATTATAATTTTGGAGACTCGCACATCAAAACCGTACTGAGTTTTTCGTAATTTTCCCAAAACTTATGCTACAAAAAGCCGGAAATTTTGCTGGTTTTTAAGGGGCCTTAAAAATTTGCATATCATTTTTGAACAAATCAAAGCTTTTCCATTCGAAGGGCTTCTTGGTATAGCACTTTTATTCAGTCAAGAATTTAAACGAAAAAAAAATGTCAATGTCACAATTAAAACGAAAATACAAAATGAAGTAACAATTACTGATGACTTGATTGGCATAAAAACGTTCTTTTAAGCATTAGCTCTACTTAGCAACAATTCAGAGTTTGAAAAGAAGCTTATTGACCTGCTTCAATTAGCTGCCTCCCAAGACTCTGAGTTGTTGAGAAATAGTGTTTTTGTTATAGAGACCACTTTCAGGCCAATACAGTTATTTTGTTTGTTACTTCGTCCAGTTTAAATTTTAAAAATAATCAGTAATTTTAAAAGACAAGGCAAAAAATCAAGTCGAGATAACTTAATTGACATGAAAGTGGTCGTGTAAGTGAAATCTCCTTCTTTTAACACTTCATTATCTTGAGAAGTAGCTTAGTGGTTTCTTAAACGCAGCTTTCTGAAACTCTGTCAAATTTGTGGTCACTTTTTTTATTTATCTCCACTGCGTTGATAACTTTGTTGGCATTTACTCAATTTGAAAGGCACTTTATTTTTTTAGTATTCCTGATAACTAAAAAAGATATTTTCTCAATTAAACTGGTAACTGAACGAAGAAACATCAAGAAATGGAAAAAGTTTTCAATTCTACTACTCAAATTGTTGAAATTGAAGATGAAAACGCATACAAAACATATATTGGTTTAATTCAATATCTTATGGTGGTAACAGCAACATTTGGAACTATTGGAAACGTTTTCGCCTATATGAATGCGGTCAATTTTTCTCAAAAATCATCTGGACAGACCTTCATAAAGTGTCTGGCAGTGAGCGACACACTTGCGGGGTTCCAGGACGGAATCCTTGAGTCGCTGCCTCCAGCAATGTTCAGTTTTGACTTGTTTGTGCAGCATACACTCTTGTGCAGATGGAAAGCATGGGTTACAAACTTCTCATCTATTGCATGTTAGTGTTTTCAATTACGATAATTGTGAATTACGATGAAAAAAGTCGCAGAAAACAAAAAAAAACGTGGATCCGGCATTAAGTCCGTTTTTTTTGATCTGCGAAAAAAAAAACACATTTTAAATGCAGACAAAATTTAAGGTCAGAATTAGATGCTGGCGAAGTCGACAGAATTTCCCGTCTCAGTTTGTTTTGAGAAGAAACTTAGCGCTAGTGAAAAATACTTTGAAAATCGAGTCCAACAGTTGTTACACTAAAATTTTTCAATTGACTTTGTTGCAATCAAAAACAAATCAGCAGATCTTGCAACTCTGCTGAATCTGACACTTCTCTGTGTTAAATTCATCTAGAAAAGTAATTTAAAAATTGAAAAATATGTTTTTAGCAGCATATGTGCTTGTTGCGACAGCTGTGGACCGGCTGATTGCTGTGTGGAAGCCAATCTTCTACAGCCAGAAGTCAATTCCAGTTAGAGCAACTGTGACGTCCATTTTAGTATGGCTCGTGTGGGCAATGATATCTCTGCCCAACTTGTTCATATTTGATGTCGAGGTAAGAAAGGGGATAGCTAATTATTCAATTTTTTATCAGAAAAATGAGTTTTTGATGCTCATCATGATCAGCGCTCTTTTTCTCGACGGTGGGACAGTTACCCTGCCCAGTAGAATAATCGATAAATTGCTTGTTGCTCTGAATTTTAAACAGAAACAGAACAGTGATTCTCCTAAAAGAATTGAACAGTCTTTTTATGAGTATATAAAAAAGTTATTTTTACCAGTATGTAATGTTTTTTAGAATGTATAATCTCACCGAAACTAGTGTGTTCTCAATTTGTTTATAAACACCAGATAGTTCTGTGACTTTTTAAGAATTTTTTATTTTCAAAATGTTATGAATTACTTTGATTTAGGCTTTGATTTTAATTTTTGAAAGTTTCAAAATCGTTCAAAAATTACTTTGAAGTTTTTTGAAAAATAAGTTGCAAAATTTCTTGATCTTCATGTAGCCGAACAGAAATACAAAAAAAGTAATTGCTTTCTGTCCATTCAAATAGCCGTTAAGCTTGTTGATTTTTGTACTATCAAAATGAGTTATATAAGTTTTATAACTTTTATAAGCAATTAGAAAATAGAACAAGACTTCTCGTATCAGGGCGAAGCCCTGAATGTTCCGACTGACTTTTAAGGTTTATGGTGCAGCAGTAATAACATAAACATTTAAATGAAATAAAATAAAATGATTTTTTTTTCCAAAATTTGAAATTTTTTATGAAAATCATCATCCCAAACGCCATATAAAGTACAAAAAGATAGATTTCGTTCCTGGTAACATATCAATTATGGCAAATAAGCTTCATTCAACCAATTTGGAACGATTTATAAGACGGATTAAATCTCCGCTTACGCGTTAATGGCGCGAATTATATCGCGCGTTGATTGTCCCAAATTGGTCAAAATGGCCAAAATGGCAACCTTTTAACCCTCATAACTTTACGAAAAAGGATCACAGGTAAAATATCGTTTCAAATTTAAGTTCAGGACAACAATGGCTTTCGAATGATATTTAAAAAATTCCGTCAAAAATGGCTAGTTAAAAAGTCGAAATTTGTCTGAAGAAAAAAAACCCACCCCGAGCACAAATATTACGTTACTTTCGTATCGAAAGTCGGAACAAAAACTATTGGTTCGAGTCCATCAGGCAACTTGTTTTCTTACAAAAGAGGCTGGATGAGTCTAGTTTCTCTGCTCTGATTTGCCAAGGAGTGGTACGAGTAAGCCCAATTTTAAAAAAATTGGGGCTTTCTTTGAAAATCATTTGGTTCCATTTTTCTATATGTAAACTTTGGAGCCAGTTGAACTAAAAATTGATCTCATTCTGACCCTTGCCGCACTGATTTCTATTGATAAACATCCATCATACTTGTTTTTCAGTGCAGTTATGATTTTCTAAAATAGTCAGTTGTAAGATAATGAAACTTGATTCTGATTGTAGCAAACTGATAATCAGTAACATTCATTTAAATCGGTTTTGATGAATCAAAATCAATTTTACTCTTTTTTGAACAAGCCTGAATTTTTCAGCCAATCATTTAAGTATTCTAGCCATTCAAAACATTGCCAATTGAAACCTTGCCAACTGTTTTTTCTGGTAAAATGAGTCATAATTTTGAGTTGTATTAAGAAACGTTTATTTGTTTATATATTTTGTTCAAACTTTCAAATAAAACGGAATATTTATGCTTGTTGAGGTTTTTTATTCAGTCAATTTCCGGTGAGTGAAATAAAAGTTGTTATTTTACGATAGTTGTTATTTTACATTAAAAAATTTTATGCCCCATTTAAGATATCGACTCCCTTAAGCCAAACTAAAATAATATTTTACCTTCGATCATTTTTTCGAAAGTGTTGGGAGTTTGAAAATTGCCATTTTGGCCATACTCTGGACTAATTTATGCGCACTTTGTAGATTTTGTTCATAATCCAAAAACTTAACGATAAATATTTATGTGTGGCGAATTATCACGCACAAGAAAATAGTTCAAATTGAACTGAGGCTAGCCTATTGGTCGTATTAATTTTCACACTTGATCTTTGAGCTTGTCCAAATTTTATAGTTTTTCGATATTCTTTTTTCACAAATAATATTCAATATAAATTAAAGGGGAATCATCAGGACAGTCAGGGTTTTTCCCTGATATACGAGCAGTCCTGATCTCTTCACAATTAGTAATTTATTTTCTATATTAATACGTTTTACAATTTTTGCAAAAGTTTTTAAATTTTTACTTTACCTGATTTGATAATCAGGTCTTCCCGATTACCACCAAACTTTTACAACCCCGCAACCACTCCCACCCGTCCCACAAATATTTACATTTTAAACAAATTATCATTTGATCGAAATAACACGAAAAACCAAAAAACGAATTTTCTCGATGTTTTTTGGAGATTTTAAAATCTCGTTCAGATCACGACTGAAAGGACTTTAATATGACATATCAGTCATGGTCGTAACATCACCAACCTGCCCGCGCTGCATGAATGTGGACAGTAAGTGAGAGTCTTTGGTAATTGTTTATAATGAGGGTGGGATGAGGGAACAATTCAAACATTTTTAACGAGATAAAAGCAGAATCGAATAGGCAATAGTTGATTAAAATGGAAATCAAAAAAAAAAATTTCACACGAAAATAAGCGAGTAGAATGAGTCATCCCATAGACTTTTATTGGTACACAAAAACAAAACGTTTTCCAAATGCATACTTGTTAAAGAAGTTCGCAGACCTGCGAAATTACATGTTGCGGTAACCCAGTTCAATACAAACTCATTCTCATCTAATCGAGGTTTATCTACTTTATATAGATAACCTAGTGAGCGCTCGCTGGTATATTATGTCATGAAAGAGGCATTGTAAGTATTGCGCAATAGTTTATTCTCTTCATTAAATAGTGCAATAGTTCATATTTGAAAAATAGGGTATTGGAATAGTTTTCCAGAAAAAAATTGTATTTTTCACTTGGAATATTGTAATATTTTAAATACTATTGCAATTCACTATATTTTACCCAGCCCTGAGAATGACAATACAATCGTTTTCCAGGTTTAATTGTGGAACAAATTAAATAATAATTACAGTCTTTCATTATGATTGAAAATTTTAACCCGGATGTTTGTTACGCAATCGATTCGAGAAAGTTTTGCATCATGCTTGAAGAATCAGTCGACTCAAATTGACCTCTTTACCTCTTTTTTAACCGTTTTAGGGTGATTTGTGCGAGATCTTCGTTGACAATCCGTGGTCTATTTTCACTGCGGGGCAGCTGCCAATCTATTCCAATTTCATCGCGGGAACTGTGGCCCTTCCTGGAATTACACTCATCGTAGTCAATATTCTCACCCTCTACAAACTCAAACAAAACAATGTGAACGTTTCCAGAAAGGACAGAGAAATTACTGTTTGTCTGGTTGTGGTGTCGCTGTCTTTCTGCATTTGTGTTTTGGCCACTGGAATAATGACCAAAATTGGAGTCGATAATCGGGATTCGAACCCTGACCTGGCTTATTTGTTTAATTACGGCAGGGTTCGTTTTGAATGACAAAAAAAAGAATTTTTGAATAAAAATTTGAATCTTAATTGAAAGAAAAGACTGGCAACCAATTGACGAGATTAATGTGTAGAGAAATCTTAAAATTGGCAAAATTAGGTCGAATCATTTCAAAAACAAGCTCTGGTTACTTTGTAGAGTTACGCAAACTTGCAGTAATTTTTCTACCAATAATAAACACTAACAAAAATTAACGGTGCATTGCCAGTACTATGTTGAAGCCAGCTCTAATCATTACCCCAGCGATTGAAATACTTTCATTTTTAATGTACCCTAACTATAGTACCAGTATTTTCTCATTTCAGAAACTGCCGATTGCGATCAGCAATTCTATGAATTTCTACACGTACTTTGCAGCCAGTGGCTACTTCAGGTCAATTTTTTACAAGGCAGTTGGCATAAAAAAATCATCAGGAGGCCAGAGTGTGGCAAAAAGTAGAATCGAGAACTCAAGGATGGAAACAAAGTTCAATCATTAAATGCGGCAACCCAAAAGTAACACCCCTTAAAATAATCATTGTTTGTCTTCAATTTCGTAGGAGGTGACGTAAGAAAAAGATTACATGAATATAAAATCTGCAAGTAACAAAACCAAATAACCTATAACAAAACAAGGATAGCCGGTTGCTGAGCAAGTAGCCCAGAATTTGGCGACTTTTTTCATAACCAATATCTAAAAGATTCTTCCGAATTTTTCTCCCAATTTCACGTCTGATCATACAATTGTCAGACACTAGCTGTTTTCCAGCTTATGCATATATGTTTCACATGTGATCACTTCTGCCATTTGCAGACTAAACCTGAGTCAGACATGACTATATCTGGTCATACATGACTATACCTGGTCATACATGACTATACCCGGTCATACATGACTATACTTGGTCAGGCATGACTATAACTGGTCAGGCATGACTATACCTGGTCAGACAAGACTATACCTGGTCTGAAATGTATACCTGGTCAGACATGACTATACCTGGTCAGACATGACTTTACCTGGTCAGACATGACTATACCTGGCCAGAGATGACGTATTTTCTGTACAATCTCGGAAACTTGCACTTAATATTCTTTGCCTAAGAATTTGATAAAAAAGGTTTTTTTTTTGTGCCTGTTTACAATATCTTTATTACCTTTTCATTTCTGCTTTGATCTCAAAATATACTTTTTGTTTCTCTCAGTGCTTATTTTGTCAAAATCTTAAGTGCACCTTTAGCTATCAATTTTAATTGGCTTTGACTATTATTTTCCCTACTTTAAATGGCATTTCCGATTAAATTTTTATTCTCAGGGCTGTCGTTTTTTTGTCTGGTCCAGGTATGGTCGGGCCTGTTCCAGGTGTACTTCAAGTCTGATCATATCTGACTCTAGATCTGCCTTTTTCAAAAATTATCATGTCTGGTAGATGTCTGGTTCAGACTTGTACATGGAAAAAAGAGACATGTCCCAGGATTGATACAGATATGGAATTTGTATATATTTTCGTTGATCAGATTTGAATTTAACTACAAATATTAGTACGGGTTCTTCATGTTTTTTTTCTAAATTTTGTTTGATTTTTTAGTCGTGTGATAAAACTATCTGAAAAAAAAAACATAGAAATTAGGCATAACTGACAGTCACAGTGAGTAAAAAAAAGCTGGCAACAGTTAAATTGAAAAAAAAAACAAAAAAACAAAAAAAAAATTGTTTTGCAGAACTCTTTTGAAATTTTGAAGTTTTTCATTGCCAAGATAGCGCTAGAAAAACCTTCGAAAAGTTGATAGTGCCTTTGATAGTTTGCGGTAATTATTTTGAATGAACAAATAAAATCGCCTGCTCGCTGTCCTTATTCGCTCCAAATTAGACCAGAAACCAAAATTTCAACAAGTTTTTCTCAACACTGTGAACTTTTTTCAAAATTTTGCAATGTTTAAAACTTGACTGAACGGGCCTAAAATATGATATATCAATCCAATGATCCAATCATTATTCCTGATGCCTGATTTGGTGTTGAAAACAAAAAAAATGAGGAAAACATCCAAATCAGGGCCCCCTCAAAGTTTTTCCCAATTTTCAAAGCTCGGAACAACAGTCAAAATCACGACTTCTCATTAATAAGCTTTTTTCTTGGCTCTGTTGCGCCACTACTATTGGTTGCGGAACCTACTATCTATTACTTCAAACAGTCAAGTTGCAATTCTTGGATCTGTATTGTTCTCGCATTAAGTGTTACATTAATGGACACTGAATAATTTTTCACTTGCGCAGTGATTTTTCAACTTTTCATTTTTTAAATGCATCTTTTTTAGGCAAAAAATTAGCGCAAAAAATGATCAATTGACATGGTTACGTCAAGTAAAGAACACAACATTAGTTATTATAAAACAAGGATGGCGGTTCCTACTTTTTGTTTTTTTGTTCTATTTTCGTCCATTTTTTGTTTGAAAAAAGCTACTGAATTAGTTTTAAAAATGCACACATTAATTTTTGCATATGGTTTTATACGTTTTCAATCTTATGTGCATGGGGCAAAATATACTGAATTTCTTACTCCAATCATTGTTTTCAAATTGAACAGAAAACCAAAGATATCCGGATCAGTATTTCTCGAGAGTGAACTTTTAAAATAGTTTCTGAATTCATACTACGTCTGAAAAGCTTTAGATTGATACATATTATGGCCCCAACACCTTTGATGTCTGTGATATAAAAACAATGCTTTCTGGAAGAACAACTTGTTGTTGTTGAAGTATAGCAAAATGTTTTTCCACCAAAATCATCAACGCATCAAGAAATCGAAAAGAAGTATTGATTTATTTCAGAAATATGGCTATTTTCTGAAAAAGACAATAACAACAGTTTCATCTCCAACAACTCAGTAAAATGAACATAAATACACCTCAGCCACTCTCATAGTGGTAAATTTCTGACTCTTTGAGAATTTTTTGAGAGTAATTTACCGATAATGAGAATCCAGTATATTAACTCAATAATACTCCACTTGTTTGTCTTACAATCTTCCCCTGACTTAATTGAAATTTATTCAGAAAGAGACTCGTTTTTAATTTCTCCTCTTGGACACAATTGCGGTGTTCCGCGAAGAGATGAATACCTCGTATGCTGAGCTTTTCTGTACAAATCTAGTCTTGGCACCCCGATACAAGTCTTTGAACTTACTTTCAAATTTTAAGCAAAATCTGCATACCAACTTAATCATTAAGGAAACAACAAGCAAACGACAAGTAAAAACCTTGGACGATAAATTACGTTGGTTGTGCTGCGGATTCCATTAAGAGCAAAAATATCAAATCGTGATTCAAAATTTTAAAGAAACGCCTTCAGCATTTAAAGCAGTTGTATGATTCATTACGAGGCCAAAGTGCGCACTGGATAGGCGCACAATTTTGGTTCTATTTGTTCCTGGATTCCAGAGACAAGCCTTTAAACTTGTTAAATTTTGTCGGAACAATCAAAGAAAGTGAAAGAACAAAAGGAGAACGAAGGGAGCGTCCTTGTTGCGGAATCCACTTACAATTTTAAAAATGCACATTTTGGCCTCGTAATGTTGAGCCATCAGTTTCTGGATTTTGCAATAGCAAAGCAAAACAAGACTGCTCGTATCAGGACGAGTCTCTGATTGTTCCGACTGCCTTCTAAGTTCTATGGACCAGTAATAACATGAAAAAGTAAATTTGAAAAAAAATTAAAATAACATGAAAAATTAAATGTAAAAAAAATAAGATAATTTTTCTTAAATTTAAAATTACGAGGCCAAACTGTGCACTGAATAGGCGCACAATTTTGTGTCTGTTTGTTCCTGGATTTCAGAGACAACTCTTAAAACATGCTAAAGTGTTGTCGGAACGATCAAAGCAAAAGAAAGAACGAAAAAAGAACAAAGGGAGCGTCCCTGTTGTGCAATCAGCTTACAATTCACAAAATGCACAGTTTGGCCTCGTAAGGAAAATTTTTGCAAAAATCATCAACCCACACATCATATAAAGTACTTTTGCTCCTTATAACAAATCAAATATGGCTTATAAGTTTTCTTCAACCATTTGGAACGATTTCTAAGACGGATTAAATCTCCGCTTACGCGTTAATAGCGCAAAATTATCGCGCGTTAATTGTCCCAAATTGGCCATAAACCCCCATAACTTTAAAAGAGGGATCACAGGCAAAATAGTTTTTCTAAAATTTAGGCACAGGACAACAACACCTTTCAAATGATTTTTAAAAAAATCTGGTCAAAATGGCTATTTAAAAAGTCGAAACTTGTCTGAAGAAAAAGCCCACCCCGAGCACAAATATTCCCTTACTTTTGTTATGAAAGTCAGAACAAAAAGCTTTGTTGCTAGTTCCACGACAAAGCAATTGTCGACCTGCTGCCAAACTCGCTTACAAATTGCAAAAAATGCAGTTTGGTCTCTTAATAGAAGATGCCGCTAATATTTGGTCTCGTTAATATTTAAAACTCTTGGTAAACACTTTGTTGAATTTCTGCGGGATCTATTTGATATTACCCCATGATACCTACTTAACAATCTCCACCCCTAAAATAAACACAATAAATTAGCACTGAGATTTCTAATTTGGCTACATTCTGATTGGTCGAAAAATTGACCATTTTTACTCAACAATCTCCTCCCTCCTTTTTTGAAAGGGGCGGAGATTTTTATGTAGATCCTTTCTGCATTATTTCTTAATTTTTTTCATTTTTGTAAGGTTTTTTGCCGTTCTGTTAAATTTTTCTGTGTAATAAAAAGTTTTCGCTAACGCACCACAAGCTAGCTCCAAACAATATGAAGATAATTTTTGGAGTAAATTTCTTGTCTTTCTGCTGGCTACCGCTTCTTGAGAACAGCTGGAATATTTGAAGCCACTTTTACCAGATTTGAGCGAAATTTCGTTACTATTTTTCCGAGACTTATGTCGCAAAGCGTTTTTGCGAGACTTATATTTCAATTTTGCGCAACTTTTAATGTTGATTAGCAAGCAAGAATTGCTTCAATGTGATACCATAGCAGGAATACGTTGCATGTTTTTAAGGTTACAGGAAAGTTCTTCCACCCCTTGAAGAAGGAGATGTTCAGGTTACTCATTTAGTGACCGAATACAATCAGTCGATAATTTAAAAAACTATCTCACGTGGAATTGTGTCAAACAAAAAACATTTTGAAAAGGCTGCGTTTTTCTAAACTATTCCGGATAAAAACTTTGAAAACGTCAAAATTGATTTTTTTTAAGTCTATGAATAATCCATCAAAATTTTTATCTCTTTAAAAGTGTCTAAAAAACACTGAACGATCTCAAACTAAAAGGTTTGAAACTACTTCTAAAAGTTTTCTGGAAACTAAACACCGCAAAGCTTCAAGCTAAAGCGATAAAATTTATCTAAGATAAATAAGCATGCAAAGATAATTGTATGCAAAATCTCAAAAACTGAAGTAATCTCAAAAATAAAAGCTTTCGGGTTTTCAGTCTGTTTAATTAT